TTGAATGAGTTAACTGTTATCAAAGTTTTTAAATTACTCACTATTTTATACGAATAAATGTTTGAAAAGTCAATGTGACACTTCGGACTCGTATCCGGGTCGAATACGGGTTGGGGGTGTTACAACATCCTAACACAATCTCTCTCGATTAGCATATGTCATAAGTTTGTCGTTTTGTTTTTTTGGCAGTGCAACTGTTTTTGGAGTTTCCACATAATCAATGCAGTTATCCTATGACTCCAGAGGTAACAGTGTGCCGACAATACTCTTGCTAATGCAAAGGCGTTTATATGCTCGAGGAGGCTAGGAGGTTTTCTTTCTTTTCTCAATCCTCTCCCTCTTCAATAGGCTATATCGCTCCAAAATTGGAGAACATAGAAGCCTTTAGCATTCTCTCTTACATATATGATCGAAACGTATTGACTTCACCACATGCAGGCAGAAGGGATATTCAGAATCAATGCTGAAAACATTCATGAAGAGTATGTAAGAGAACAAAATGGTGGAGTGGTTCCAGAAGGGGTCGATATACATTGTTTGGCGGGGACTAATCAAGGTATGGTGATGCCATTTTAATATCACTTGATCTTTCCTTCACTTACATCTGATGTACGTGATTATGGAGTTGAATGAAAAGAACTTGCTGCAAATAGTTTTCTAGAAATATCTCAAATGTAAATTTATCGGGGTATCTGCAGGGAAATGGCTTATTATCTTCCTTTTTATTATAGAACCCAAATATACTAATTTGATGTTGGGTTATTTAGGCTTGGTTCAGAGAACTTCCCACTGGAGTTTGGATTCTTTATCTTCCGAGCAGGTAATGCAATGCCAATCCGAAGACAGTGTGAGCTTGCTGACATCTAGCCCCAACAGAATCTGCTCTACTAGATTGGGCCATAAATCTCATGGTTGATGTTGTTCAACAAGAACATCTAAACAAGATGAATGCACGTAATATAGCTATGGTTTTTGCTCCAAACATGACTCAGGTGGTTCACCATAATGCTCTCTTAAGCATCCACATTGGTTATCCACAAATAAGTACTTCTTGAGCAAAGTCTTTCGTTTCTCGCAATGCTGATAGCATATTGTGCGATTAACGGTGGCCAATTATGGCATATTGTGGTTGCAGATGGCACATCCTTTGACCATTGATGTATGCAGTCCAAGTGATGAGCTTCCTCAAGACACTCATCTTAAGGACCCTGAGAGAAAGAGAGGATTCGGTGGTAGATCCAACTCCCACATTCCGTCTGGAGCCTTTCGATGAGAATGAAGATCAAACCCTTCACTCTCCTACATTCAAGATACTGAAAATGATAATGAAGAGAAAGAGTTGGCCTTTCTCGCTGAAGAGCCTTTAAACGAAAGTTTCAGGAATTATAGTCAAAGCAACGAGATCCCAAATACTGACGATCACAGTCTGATGCTCACCGCCGATAAGCTAATCACTGATGCATATCACGTCAATGAGACTCCAGCTGAGATTGAAACTTTCACCACCGAAACTGATGCCATTGTATCCAACAACCTAAAACCGGCAACTCTGGTGATTGGGGGAAAGACCAATAATATTGGCCAATCAAGTAATTCATGTGTCAAGGAGTCCAACAAAATCATCGGTCTGCAATTGATACTTCAGATGACAAACACTGCTGACAAGACCAAAGGGATAACCAATTTGAGCCGTATAGATTCAAGGATAGAACACATTGAAGCATGGCGTTGAAGGGGGTGGAACCTTGATTTTGACAATGATTGCTGTGAATGCTTGTTTATTTTGCAAGTTGTGAACTTGTTCTTGTATCTTTTCAGTGTGATGACTGGTCTGCATAACCTTGTGACCCTAACATTTCTACTTCGACACGGCAATTACCGCCGGAGTTCGACGAATTTCGGTATCTATTTTCTATTTTGCTTTCATGTATGACGATCTCTTTTCTATAATGACCACTAAATTGAGTCATAGCAATTGAACCACCCATCCATATTATGCTCCACTAGAAAGGAACCCATTGATTTTTCAACTCTTTTTACAGAGCTCTCAAATGACTTTAAACTTATAATCTCTTATATTTCCATTTTTCTTGTTTTCTTCACCCCTCTAGCTCTTCTCTCTCTATCTTTCAAAGAGAATAGTGGAGAGCCAGTCCCATGGATGCCTCTGGAGGCCTTCAGCACATCTTTGAGCACTCATTACAAGAAACCCGAACAGTGTTTGGGACCTCTTCCTGGAAACAAATCAAGCCTGCTTCTCAAATTCGACCGATCAAACAATCTTCCATGATATTTGGCGAGCTTCATTTCAAGGAGAACTCCGAGTTACCATCACATTCCTTCCCTATTTCACCTTTTTCTTCAGCAATATTGAACCACTCTTCCAGGGAAGATGAAAACAACATTGGTAGTTCGAGCAACCCTAAAGTGCTCCATAAAAAGAATTTTTCGTCGAACTCGGAGAGCCCGCAAGTGTGCACCGAAGGGCTCGGTTCCAAGAGCTGTGATGATGCCTGGGACAACGACACTACAAATGAGATGATACATGAGTGGCAAAGTAGCAAGGACAAGATAGATGAAGCGAGTGGCATATTGAATGAAAAGAGAGGGAATGTGCATAGTGTATTGAAGGTCGTTAAGTTGAGAAGATCGACCAGAGTTAAAGACTTTCTGCCGCCGATATCATGCATAGGGAAGAATGAGAAGCCGTTGGTTTCGTTCAACTTCATGTAAGCCGTAGTCTTGTACTATATTTCATTGCATGTACAAATAGTAGAATGCTGACATCCTAACACAATCTCTCGATTAGCATATGTCATAAGTTTGTCATTTTGTTTTTTTGGCAGTGCGACTGTTTTTGGAGTTTCCACATAATCAATGCAGTTATCCTATGACTCCAGAGGTAACAGTGTGTCGACAATACTCTTGCTAATGCAAAGGCTTTTATATGCTTGAGGAGGCTTGGAGGTTTTCTTTCTTTCTCAATCCTCTCCCTCTTCAATATGCTATAGCGCTCCAAAATTGGAGAACATAGAAGTCTTTAACATTCTCTCTTACATATATGATCGAAACGTATTGACTTCACCACATGCAGGCATAAGGGATATTCAGAATCAATGATGAAAACAGTCAGGAAGAGTATGTAAGAGAACATTTAAATGGTGGAGTGGTTCCAGAAGGGGTCGATATACATTGTTTGGCGGGACTAATCAAGGTATGGTGATGCCATTTTAATATCACTTGATCTTTCCTTCACTTACATCTGATGTACGTGATTATGGAGTTGAATGAAAAGAACTTGCTGCAAATAGTTTTCTAGAAATATCTCAAATGTAAATTTTATCCAGGTATGTCTGCATGGAAATAGCTTCTTATCTTTTTTTTTATATCGAACCCAATATACTAATTTGATGTGGGTTATGTTAGGCTTGGTTCAGAGAACTTCCCACTAGAGTTCTGGATTCTTTATCTTCCGAGCAGGTAATGCAATGCCAGTCCGAAGAACAGTGTGCTGAGCTTGCTAGACTTCTAGCCCCAACATAATCTGCTCTACTAGATTGGGCCATAAATCTCATGGCTGATGTTGTTCAACAAGAACATCTAAACAAGATTCACGTAATATAGCTATGGTTTTTGCTCCAAACATGACTCAGGTGAGTTCACCATAATGCTCTCTTAAGTTCACATCCACATTGGTTATCCACAATAAGTACTTCTTGAGCAAAGCCTTTCGTTTCTCGCAATGTTGATAGCATATTGCACCGATTAACGGTGGCCAATTATGGCATATTGAGTTGCAGTTGACAGATCCTTTGACCGCATTGATGTATGTAGTCCAAGTGATGAGCTTCCTCAAGACACACATCTTAAGGACCCTGAGAGAAAGAGAGGATTCGGTGGTAGATCCAACTCCAACATTTCATCTAGAACCTTTCGATGAGAATGGAGATCAAACCCCTTCACTCTCCTGCATTGAAGATACTGAAAATGATAATGAGAGAAGAGCTAGCCTTTCTCGCTGAGAGCCTTTAAACGAAAGTTCAGGAATTATAGTCAAAACAACGAGATCCCAAATACCGACGATCACAGTCTGATGCTCACTGACGACAAGCTAATCACTTATGCAGATCATGTCAATGAGACTCCAACTGAGATTGAAACTTTCACCACCGAAACCGATGCCATTGTATCCAACAACCTGAAACCGACAACTCTGGTGATTGGGGGAAAGACCAAAATATTGGCCAGTCAAGTAATTCATGTCTCAAGGAGTCCAACAAAATCATCGGTCTGCAATCGATACTTCAGATGACAAGCACTGTTGACAAGACCAAAGGGATAACTAATTTGAGCCGTATATATTCAAGGATAGAACGCATGAAGCATGGCATTGAAGGGTGCTCAACAACGGTTGAACCCTAACTGATACTTCGACATATGATTGCTGTGAATGCTTGTTATTTTGCAAGTTGTGAAAACAAAAAAAAGTGAATTTGTTCTTGTATCTTTCAGTGTGATGACTGGTTTGCTTAACCTTGTGACCCTAACTTTCTACTTCGACACGGCAATTACTGCCGGAGTTCGAACGAATTTCGGTATCTATTTTCTGTTTTACTTTCATGGATGACAATTCGACATATGATTGCTGTGAATGCTTGTTTATTTTGCAAGTTGTGAAAACAAAAAAAAGTGAATTTGTTCTTGTATCTTTTCAGTGTGATGACTGGTTTGCTTAACCTTGTGACCCTAACATTTCTACTTCGACACGGCAATTACTGCCGGAGTTCGACGAATTTCGGTATCTATTTTCTGTTTTACTTTCATGGATGACAATCTCTTTTCTATAATGACCACTAAATTGAGTTATAGCACTTAAACCACCCATCCATATTATGCTCCACTAGAAGAGGAACCCATTGATTTTTTCAACTCTTCTTACAGAGCTCTCAAATGACTTTAAACTTATAATCTCTTTATATTTCCATTTTTCTTGCCCCCTAGCTCTCTTCTCTCTCTATCTTTCGAAAGAGAATAGTGGAGAGCCAGCCCATGGCTGCCTCTGGAGGCCTTAAGCATATCTTTGAGCACTCATTAGCAGAAACACCAACACTGTTTGGGACCTCTTCCTGGAAACAAATCAAGCCTACTTCTCAAATTCGACCGACCGAACAATCTTCCATGATCTTTGGCGAGCTTTATTTCAAGGAGAACTCCGAGTTACCATCACATTCCTTCCCTATTTCACCTTTTTCTTCAGCAATATTGAATCACTCTTCCAGGGAAGATGAAAACAACATTGGTAGTTCGAGCAACCCAAAAGTGCTCCATAAAAAGAATTTTTCGTCGAACTCGGAGGGCCCGCAATTGTGCAACGAAGGGCTCGGTTCCGAGAGCTGTGATGATGCCTGGGACAACGACACTACAAATGAGATGATACATGAGTGGCAAAGTAGCAAGGACAAGATAGATGAAGCGAGCGGCATATTGAATGAAAAGAGAGGGAATGTGCATGGTGAATTGAAGGTCTTTAAGTTGAGAAGATCGACCAGAGTCGAAGACTTTCCGCCGCCGATATCATGCATAGGGAAGAATGGGAAGCCGTTGGTTTCGTTCAAATCTTACAGGCAGGACGGGAGGTTCGTGCTTAAACAGGTGAGGACCCCTACGCAAGAGTTGTTGCATGCATGTAGGGAAGATGGGAGGTTGAAGCTGCAATTTATGTAGCCAAATGACGAATCAATGGAACACCAAGGATTTGAGGAAGGACATTTGATGAATGATGAAATTGAAAATGCCGGTAAAGAGAAAAAGGCAAGCTTCAGAGGATCAATCGATGTTATAAAAAGGAAAAGGAAAAATGAAAGGGTTAAAGGTTGATTTTCATTCATGTAATAAAAAGGATGAGAAACAACATTTTCTGGTGTATTTTTGTCCTCCAAGGGAATTGCAAGTTAATTAAAGGAGTGCTAAGAAGTAACTATTTTAAAGTTTTAATTTAGTTTTATTTATGTTAAAAATAATGTTTATCTATGAATGATCATGAACTTTAAGTGTAGATAATAAAACGAACTACTCTACTGTCTGATGCTATGTGATCCAGGCACCATATGTGATAATGTAATCCTACCTAAAGAGGAAGGGAAACTCTAGGGAAAAGGAAAGAGAATATTCCTAGTGGATCTAGAGCTCATAACCTAAAGAATGAAACATAGATAAATAATTTGCTCAACAGACCAAATATACTTGCACCTTCTCGATTAAAGTTAATCACATAAACTTAAATTCTAGGTAATACTTTTATTTTATAATATTTCATGTCAGGTTAAATATGATGATGACATTTAAAGAGGAATATATAATGAATATTAAATTATTCGTTTACTTTGACTCAATTAAAGAATTATATCGAGTCGATTTTCGATTCAAGTCAAATTTGGATAAATTAAATTATAATTACATTCGATTCAGGTCGCTTTTGATATGATTGATTTTGGTTCGAATTAAGTTGAATGCGAGTTCATATCAATCTAATAAAATTTGAGTCAAATTCAATTCAAATAAATTTATTTCAAGTTTTGAATCAAATTTGATCTATCAAACTCAAATCTATATCTATATCAGATCTCAGGTCGGATAAATCAATTTGAATAATTAATTTCAGATCAAGTTTATTAGATCTAGGTTTAGGGTTTTATATTAGCCCTAGGGATTTGAACAATCCCTTTATTTTTTTGCTTGGACCTTTGTAGGAAATGGAACATTATTGACAAGAAAAAGAAGACACCATAAGAAACTTTTTGACGGTATAAAATCTGGAACACTTTATTTAGAAAAACATCAGTTAACACCTCAGATTCATTAAAAGACATTTAGAAAACCATGTCTGGCATTCAGCTACAGCTTCTGATTCAAACACAGTTGTTACCAGAAGCACATCTTAAACTGCTTACAAAGTTTGCTTTATTTTTCTGCACACCACAGGGCATTAGGGTAACCTCATACCAGAATCCGGTCACATTAACCTCACTCACGGACTTCTTGCTTCTTATCTTTAGAATTGAGATACCATCCAAAGCAACACCGAGGGTTGCAACACCGGCTACAACTCCATAATTCCGAAACTTGTCGCTCGATGCTTTCTCAGCAGATGCTCCTGATGTTGAGGTAGTGCCACTGGGATTAGCATCAGCTGCAGTACCCCTAAACCTGAACCAGGTTTCTCCTCTGGCTTGTGTCCCTGAAATATTTCAAGAATTCTTTGAATGCTTGATCACCATTGTTACATAAACATTTCGAATTTTCTGTTTACACATGATTATCACAACTTAAAAACAACCCTAATCATTAACCGTTACAGAATCCAGTCTTTACCATTCGGTAGACAGAAAACATGACCAAGTGAATTGCTATAGCGCATCAGCTGCTATATAAATTTTATGACTGTATGAGACTCTGTATGGGGCTGCAAAGTTGCATGTGTTAAGTGTTTGTGCATGTATCATTGTAGGAATAAAAATGTAGGCTGAATAAGCTTAATAGATTAAAAAACAGCTTAAACCCATTTTAAGCATCTCATCCACACACCCATAGATTTTAGGTCAAGAAGATAAACATAACAATTGATATGAGCATACCTTGCGTGCAAGTTTCTCCAATCTCTCTCGTTCAGTTTTCTGCAATAATAAACTTTTCAGTACATAGCAAATCAAGACATAGAAAATGAAGTAAATAAACATGTTCTAGGACATTTTGCAGAACTGATCAAGAGGAAGAGGGAAAAAGAGCGGAGAGAAAAAAGTAGAGATGGAGAAAAGCTTAAACATTAGTCACAAACTTCTATGGTGCATAACATATATAAACCAACACCATTACGATGTACAAGCCTCGAGCATCATTGATTTCCATGAAATCTATAATATTTTCCATTGAATTACATGCATGTAACTGAGAAACTAAAACATAGACCATTTCAAAGATATTACTTACAATACCCAAGGAAGCAATGCTAGACTTCTAAAACACAAAGTAATGACATGAGATAAAGAGAGACCAAGGAAGATAACAATTGTCACATATTACATTTACTGGGGCAGCATTTATGATGTCAGACCTTAGATACTCCTTCTCAATGCTTGGTCAGAAATGGATGATCCCATTTCCAGATCTTTGAACCTCACCATACCTATCTTCTACAGAATATTATGATCATTGTCAACTTATTATAATTCCAAGTTAAATGAAACACTAGAAAAGGATAAACATCTCTGACACTGCACAGGCCTAAAGACAACCTAGTAGGAACAAAGGGAATATAATTAAATCTATAGGAAATAAACAAAATGAAAGGAGTTTAAGCAAAAACAATTACCATAACGTTAAGACAAACTAAGAACCCGAACTTACACAAATAACTATGCTAATGGTACATGAAGAAACAACATGAAAAGATTGAGTACCTGGATGTAAACATTTTCAGCAGCCTTTTCTCCTCACCGAGTACCTTCCCACTCCCACTCGAGAACCTACGAGAAATGTATCTGACGGCCGTTCTGGTTGCCATAGTAGTTGACTATATAATTCCTGCAATCAGAATAACATAGACAATCGTGTAACCAAAAGGAATAGAACCAATAATCTCATCTAATTACCACCATCAAACAAAGCCAATTTCTCACAGATAAAGGAAACTATGGTCAAATTAAAACCATATAACTATGGTTCAAAACATAAAAAAAATCAACTTCAAATAAAAGGTATCAAACAATGTCCTAAAAACTAATCAAACCCTAAGGCTCTGAAGACCTAAAGGACTAAAACATGAAGAAATCAAAGCAAAAACTTCATTTCTAAACATTTTAAACTAAAACCCAGGTTTTGGTTTTTTCATTTCATTTAATTAATTTCCGCTTTTTCTTTCATTTCGTAAATCCGGTAAAGCTCGGCAAGGATTAAATCGAACATTACAAAATTCATCAGATTAGGTAACAATAATGTAAACAAAAAAAAAAAAAACGCAAACTGGATTAAAAGATCAAAAAAAGGAGTAAATAGTAGAGAAAACGAGCAAACCAAAATTGGGGAAAGAGAGAAATTGCTTACCGAGCAGCTGAACTGAAGCGATGAAGACTTGAAAAATTGTCGTGGAAAACGTAACAAATAGGGTTGGTAGCAGGGATTTTAAATTGGGCCTATTCTTGGATTTGTTTCAAAAAAAATAGGAAGGCAAAAAAATTCGAACCCGACGGAAAAAATCGAAAATCAAATTAAATGGAGACGGGAAAAAATTGTTTAAGTTAAACGGGGACGGGAAAAATCGTTTATGTTAAATGGGGACGGAGACGGGGATGGGGACGGGTTTAGTAATCTCTGTTCCGATTACCCGGCCCGATAAATATTAAAATAATTTATTATATATATATATATAATATTAATAAATTTAATTTAAATTAACATATATATATAATATTTATATATTTAATTTAAATAACCCGATTACCTGGCCCGATAAATATTAAAAATAATTATTATATATATATAATATTAATAAATTTAATTTAAATTAACATATATATATAATATTTATATATTTAATTTAAATATATATACCCGGCCCGATACCTGTTTAAATAATCGTTTATGCTAAACGAGGATACCCGTTTCCCCGCGATTTTTCCTGATTACCCGATGGGGATCCCCGTTTAAAATCCCCGCGGTTTTTTAAGCGGAGACGGGTACAAGTTTTTTAAACGAGGACGGAGAAGGGGGACCAATACCCGGCCCAAACCCGACCCGTTGCCATCCCGACCAAAGAAAAGCCTAACCTTTTGACGGTTTAATATATATATATATATATATATATATATTTGTTTTTAATTTGAGAGATTTACTAAGATTTTTTTGTCCTAATAACTGAACAACAACCAAGTATGCACACCAAATAACCAATCCCATTATAATTATGAACTCCTCTCCCATAGCAGCTAATTTCTGTTGCATTTCTTGCTAAAATACTATTTTATACATATTTTGTCTTGTCGTAAACTGTTTCTTAAGATCCAACAATCAATATATCAATCATTATTTCAGTCTCATTAGTGTCTATACAGCGAAGATATTCATTATAGAAACGATAATTTTAATACCGTAAATCTCATTACTATCAGTAAACTTATTACTGAAACAAAATGGGGATAACCGGGGGATTAAAGCGCATATCCCTCAAGCAACCCTTATTAGTGAACCAAGTGTCTCTCTACAAATCACAGTGGTACACTTGCTCATTTGCCAAACAACTCCTTTTTTTTTAACATCTCTTTTGCTGACATCAAATTTCATCCGGACCGACTCGAACCTAATTATAACATAAAACTCAACCTAAAATTGCACATAAACCAACGCTAGCACCTATCAACACTGGTACCATAGCTGCTCTATTGCACTAATACTCACAGTTCTTGTCGATGTTATATATATATATATATTATATGGCGAATTAATATATCTTGCATATTAAATAATGTTTTAAATATTAATTTTGAAAATAATGAATATTTTAAATTATGTTAATAATTATTATATATTTATTAAAATAAAATTATTATAATTATTACTATACTTTACTATATTGTTTAGTCTTATAGAATGTTGTTAATATGGCTAAGTGGTTAGGCAATTCCCTATTTTAGTTGATGTGGGTTTTATTGCCCTTAATATCATCTGTTCGGTCCTTATTTTTACCAATAAGATAACTTTTGATAAATTAACAAT